CGGAGGAGGAGGAGGAGAGTCCGGACCGGCAGCTCAAGCTAGCGCTGCTGGGGGACGGCACCTGCGGCAAGGTCAGTGCCGGCCGCCGGCGGCGCCCCCCGAGCGCCCCCGCCGCGTTCCGAGGCCGCTTCCCCGCCCGCGCCTTCCCCGTGGCTCGGAGCCGCCGAGCCCGCCCCGACGGGCCGCCGCGGCCCCGGCGCTCCGCGGCGAACCCTGCGGAGCGGCGCCGTAGCGCCCGAGGGAGCCCTGCGCACGGGCGCGTGCCGCTTAATCCCGCGTCCCGGCGAGGCGAGCGGCTGGCGGCGTGCTCCCCGCTCCGTGCTGGGCTTCCCGCCGGCGCCCGCACTGGCGGGGCGGCGGCGAGGAGCTGCCCCGCGGGCCCCCGTTATCCTCCCAGCCGGGGCTCGGAGCTGAGAGCCGAGGCGGGCAACGCGCCCCCCGTTTGTGCGAGCGGCAGAGCCAGGGCCGCAAACACCTTCCGGGTTAACTGGGACCCGCTTCGCTTCTTGAGGCTTTTTATTTTTCTTTTGTTTCTCTTTTTTATTTTTTTCTCCTGTATGAGATCAGTGTAGTTATGATAAACTGTATTTTATTAGCCCATGAGTGCACTTCATACTCGCCTTTTTAAAGATACTGGGAAATTTGGGCAAGTATGGACCAACTGAGGCAAAGCAGAGATCGCTTTGTTGTCCAGGGAGATGATCACTGATCTTCACTAGACATGTGTGTAGAGAACAAGCTAACAACTTACCCAGTGCTATATCTGGTCTGAATCCTTTTGTGACATGCATCTGAGAATGTTATTTTTTTCATGTATTGTAAGAATGCACATTTTCATTTGTCACTAAGCTTTGAAAATACGGAGAGACAGGAGGACCTCTCTACTTAGAGTTTGGGAGGAAAAAAAGAAATAGTCTTAAAGGTGATTTAAAAAGCTGCCTGCCCGTTACCAGAAGTAGACTCTTGGTGAAAGTATGTCCAAGACTCTGTTCTCTTACTTAGAATTTTATGTTAAAACAGAAAATTGTTTCTGTCTGTAATGACTTTATGTGCAACCTTAAGTGATGCCACCTCTGTGAGAATCGGGAGATGGACAGGGCTGCTGGTCTCTGTGATGGGAACCTAAGGATTGCATGGGATTGAAGTCTGGAGTGCAGCTTGCTTGGGTTCCTTTCCCCAGGAGTTTTCCATTCAGAATGAAGAATCCTTTTGCCAGTGCTGCTCAGCACCTGGTGGCAAGACCTTGCACCAAACGTGAATTTTCCGGCATTCTTGAGTTTTGACGTGTGTTCCTGCTGGTTCCTGCCTCTCACGTGGGAGTTGCCGTTCACTGGATGTCCTGCTGAATCTGGGAACCCTGTAATTCAAGTGTAGTTAATTTTGCATGAACAACAGCAATGTTGTGGTGGGCTGCTTTTCCTCTTATCCCCCCTAGATGATGCTGTAATAGAAGCTTCTTCCAGCCATCCTGCAGCTCTAGCAGTGAACAGTTGTAATACCACATTTGTAGGAAAAGCTGGTATAAATAGAGAAGTGATTGAGTTTTGGTGTGGGAGGAATAAGAGCACCTCTGAAGACTAAATCACTGCAGTTTCCCTCTTTTGTTGGTCCTTTTCTGCTTGCTTGTTGGAACAGGTCTCTGGCCATGCCTCTCACATCTGTTTCACACCTGGTCTTTACATGCATGCATACCTGCCCTGCCATTTACTGTTGAAGATACTCTTTTTCTCTTCCTCTGGAATTGCTGGGCAGAAGGAGTGTAGGCTATAGTGGGAGATACAGTTTTTCAGAGGTATCTCGTGTGCTCAGTGTAATATTGGCACAGTTGTCATAGTTCCTTAGCTTTTCTTTTAATACCCTCCCTCTTGGCTATCAAGAGCCGTATGGTCTCCAGTTATGCAGAAAAGTGATGTCATTTTGTCAGCAGGCTGAAGATGAAAACTTGCACTTATTTTCCTCATCCAGTATCACACGTTATTTAGATGTGATTCAGGTCTTGTGAAACTGTTGGTAGCAGTTTAAAAACAAATTTCATCTCAAGCTGAAGACAATGTTTATGTATCCACTGACTGGTAATTACTGTGTTCGTGAGGCAAGGAGGGATGTTGTACTTGATTTGTTCTGCAGTAGCTTCGTGAATAATTGGATACTTGGAGTTTTAACGGAAGGAATAAGCACTACTAGAGTAAAGTCTAAGGAGAGGAAAGTTGACAGGAGACATGCATGAGAAACATGACAAGCACGAGAAGAGTATGGGACAGAGGCTGTAAGAGTAAAATAGTGATTAAATAAGCTGTTGAAAAGCAAAATTAAGGTGATCAATGTGAGCAAGAACACAGTACTAAAAAGATTTTTTTTAAGTAGGCAAAAACTAGGAAAACATTCTGAAAAGAAATTGAAACTGGAGATAGGGGACAGTGTGAGACAAAAATAAGCAGCTGTCAGTAGTAGTATGTTTTTTTTTCCTGAATATTGATGACTAAAAGGAACATATATGCATAAGGATGCTGTGCATATATTGGTCTTAAAATGGTCTTTCTTGCCCTCTTATCCTAAGCCAAATAATGTTTTTCATTACAAGAAATCAACACCAGAATGAAGGAAAAAAAAAAAAAAAAAAAAAAAAAGGTTGATATATTTCTGCTCTTGCTCTGCAGTGGTTGTTTTGTTATTAAAATATATGGCGAGCTTGGTTTGAACTGGAACTGTTCTGATCCACTACTGTTGTGGGGGGGACCATCACCACCAGCTCAGGACTTGGGGCCTCTGAAAGTACATCTTGGAGCTATTCACAGCAAGGGAGGTCCTGAAAACCAGACATGAGGAAGGAGAAGAGCAGTCGCAGATCTGCCTTGCTGCCGTCCATTGCAGCTGGAAGCCCTGGCCTCCACCCAATTGAAAATAATAGACACGGTGCCCAACCTGATGTGGGGTTTGTGGGAGTGGATACACAGGCTGTAATAGCCGAGTGGTGCCGCTTCCTTTTGGATTTTTGAGGACACCAGTTTTCTTAGAGAAAAAGACTGGCTCTTGGTCTCAAAATCTTTAAAAATGTTAACTAACTATTGCCACTGCATTAGGCTTGTAAATAGGACATTGTCTATGGTGTCCTATGCAGATTGGCCTATATGAATATTTCTTCACGGGTTAATGTCTAGTTTCATAATTTCAGGCTTGAAACTGATAACTACTTCTACTTCAGTAAGTGGAGGTAGAATGGGAAGACATTAGCGTCATAGAAGAATTTCCTTTGTTTTTGAAATACTATCTTTATCGGGTAGCTGTGCAGTTTCTCCTTTCCCTCTCTCCCTCACAACAAAACTAGACTGTTCTCAGTGAGAAGTCCTCTGTGTTGAGCAGTTTTTCTTTCTTTAATAGTCATTGCTGCATTTTCTTCATTTAGCCAGCGTTTCTTTTCATTTTGTCTTTTTTTTTTTTTTTTTTTTTTTGTTAGTACAGAGCTCATGGTTGAGGGTCAGTGTTGCTAAATGGCCTTGGCCTTTTAGAAGGGAATCAAGGAAAGGACAGATGCCTCTTGCTTTTAGGAAAGCGGTAGTGAATTCTCAACAGATTGGTGAAGCTGGTGCATGAATGGAAACTTGTTCCAGGACTATGCACTTTTGTGCTAAGTGCATGGACTTCTAGTTTTAGTTTCTCACTGCTGTAGCTATTATGTTATACTTCGGCATCCCTTTCTGAAAGTTTCATTCCATAGTTCTTTGAGTAAAATCCTCTGTTTGGCAGCCTTCTCTCTTATGAGTTGCCACACAATCCTGGTGTGTGAAAAGTCAGCCAGAGCTGTCTGTCATTACTTGTGCCTTGAAACGTGCCAGTTACTACTTTATAAATATTTTTGCTTTCCTTTTTAATTTACCTATGTAGTCATTTAAGAATAGCTTGTCAGCAACATTCATACAGTAAGTTGATGACATTGAAAAATAAAAACAAGAAATTCTTTCTTGCCTCACCCTTAAGGTTTAATTGCATCTTTGTTTATCTGCAAAATAACTGCCCAGATATCCCTTTGTAGTTTTAAGAGTGGTTTGTATATATTCTGCTGCTGTCTTGATTGCTGTTCATTAGTACCCAATGGACTCCCACCTCCCACTCCTTAAAATAAGGTGTTTGCAAGACCAAGATACGAAAATGTATTGCTGCGTTGGAAGAACATATAAGCATTTGCTTTAAAGCTTTGGGAGCAAATGTCTGAATCTATCAAATTAGGTCTAATGGAAGGTGTACTATGACAGTTGGTATCTGATTGGCTTAGTAGATATGTCGAGGAATAAGGCCTTGTTTAGATTATCTAGTTCCTAGATTAATGGCTGAAAACTTTATAATTTGAGGATGATCTTTTAAAAATAACCACTGATCACTTACTTTTAAAGCTGGAGTTGCATGAACGATTACTTTTATTTTTATATACTTTTTACACTGGCCCTGCCAGCTAGCTTTTCAAGTAGTCCTACTTTGCAGAATATTTAGAGAAGCACTATAGAGAACAAATTCAGGACTGAAGGGAGAATTTGTATTGTAAAAGCACCTGTATATGCACCGAGGTAACTTCTCTCTTTCCTGTTGTGGAGGAGTTTGAGCTGTTGCTCTTAGTACTTTGTGGGTAAATGCTTGTTCTGTGAATAAATAGAGGACTGCAGTCTGGTAATCCAACACCTTCTGTGAGCACTAACATTCACTAGAGGAAAAAAAATTAAAAGAAGTCAGTCAATGGTTTCTGCTGTAAATTCCTTTGCATTCAGGAGTGCAGTAGAGAAAACTATTTAAGAGAACTTTGCCACGCTGTTGATCACTTGTTGCTGTTATTGGTTGGCTGTTAATTGAATGTATGTTGTTTTTACTAACACCCTTAGAAACCTTTGGGGAATATGGAGTGTCACAGAGTGATAAAGCTAATATTTACTGAGTCCTTAAAACAAGAAGGGAGTGGTTGCTTATTTAATGGGATCTAAATTGATGTGCTGAAGCATCAATGATGACTGTGATGCAGTCGGGTGATATACTCTGCATGCTAGTTACCTTAATGAAAAGCAAAATTGCAAGGAAAAGATTATAAAGTGTATTTATGCAATGTTCTTATTCTTATCTTCATCATTTAGGATCAAGACAGTTTTAAATTAATGTCTTTATAATCCCGGAGCTCTGACTATTGAAATTAAACAGTCAGTGATACGAGTTTTTAGTGTTACAGGCCAAATTTGTATTGAGTTTCATTTTGCATGTCATTAGTATTATGGTCACATAGCTACAGCCAGGAGAATCTTCTTAAGACTCATTCTGTGTAGTTCTTAGCTTTTCCATGATAATAAAAATATGTGGGCATACTAGTTTATTAAATACTGTATTCCTAGTGTACATGCTTTTTATTTATTTTTAATCCTTCCAAGAATTGATTTCAATGAATTAAATGAAAATATTGCCACAGTTTTTAACTTATTTTTTTGAATTCCTAAACTTATCTTCTCATCTCAAAATACCTGTTAGAACATGACAGCAACAGGAACACAAGGGTGATGCGAGCAAGAAAACAGTAAATCTTGTGTTATTTGCTTCCCAGGTAATTTTATGTTTGAATAAATGTTTGTCTGTGCATACTAGAGCTTTAATGCTGGAGCTCTGGTGGCCTTGTTTTCATGCAGAAAATGAGTAAGTTACATTTTTATTCTGTGTACTTGCTCAACATGTTCCCTAGCATAATTTAGGTCTTTGTTAGAGCAGTTCTGGTAATAGAACCTGCCTGTTCTCACTTTTCAGAACTGCTGACATTATTTTACCATAGCATTTTTAACTGAATGTGCCCTAACAGCATTTCCTAATAACTAGTGATGTGACTTATCCCCTTAGGTCTTGATTAACTGAAAGTTGATGAAAAAATTCTTTTTTTTTTTTTTTTTTAATAATTTTGAGTTGTCTTGAGCAACACAGTGTGTATGTGTGAAGATTTTTTTCGGCCCTGCATAAATAAATGGAGGTTTTATTTTTTGTAGTTACTTTGTTTTTGTGTTTTAGATGCGATGTTAAGAAAAGATTTGTAAGTGTATGCCTCTAATTTGGAGAAGGATATGTTTTTAGCTACACTGCGTTTCTTTTTAAATAATATAAACGGTGCAAATAGTTTTTAATTGCACTTCTTTTTCTTTAGATAGTGGGACTTCCCCCCCTACCCTGGCCTTTCTTGAAGAGATTGAATTGCTAGTAAAATAAGTGGAATACTCTGCTTCATTACTTTATGTGTATTAGTCGTGCATCCTTTTAGTGGTGGTGGTGGTGGTGATGGTAGTAGTAGTAAAAGCAGCATTCTGTATCAAAGAGTGAAAGTTGGTATTCTTTACTAAGCAAATGGTGTATTGGTCTGTTTTCATAAAGTCACAAAATACAAATTTAAGAAATAAATTTCCAAAGTTTTGAATGTTTTTGCGAATATAGTTTCTTAACGTGAGTTCTTTTAGTTCTTTTTTTTTTCCCTGTGTATAAATGTTTGCAGGCTTGGCTCTTATGTTGGTCTTTACATAGTCCCCAGTCCTAAATCTTTTACACAGTGTCAGGAGTCCTGCAGGTCTGTGGAGCCCTGTGGGCCTCCGCACTCTACAGATGTCCGTTCCTTCCCAGAGGCCTGGCTTGGGATTGTGGTGTCCTGTACCAGGGATGAGCCCTTGGTTTGGAAATGAGCACTCTTTAAAAATGTAAGCCCTCCACGTATAGACAGTATCCATTACATTTGTGTCAAGTGGAGTGTACTAATGATATTTCATTCAAATCTGTATAATACTCTGGAGTTTCAGTATGAAGTATAACAGAAACATAAGCCTTGCTCTTTGTGTACACCTTAGCAGCCAGGGCCACCTCCTGCTACGATCCTGGAGCTGGCTGGAATGCTGGTCAATGCAAACCCGCAAGCACTGTCAGCGTGCCCGGATTAAAATAGCGTTTAACTGTAGTACCTGCTTCTGGTATCACATCGAGGTTTCAGCCTTTCAAAATGTCAACTTAATTTGATACTGTTCTGTTTTAGACATCCCTAGCCACGCGTTTTGCCCAAGAAACGTTTGGAAAGCAGTACAGACAAACTATAGGACTGGACTTCTTCTTGAGAAGGATAACGTTGCCAGGTAAGAGAATAAAGAAACTGTCATTGAGAGGTTGGGCAGGAATAAAACTTGCAAAAACTTAAGTCTTCGATGTACAGTACAATAAATAAGCTCCCTACAGTGCTTTTAATGAAAAAGTGAATTTGTTTTTTAAGAAAGAATTTTCTAAGTATGTTCTTAGCTGATAATAAAGGGTCATACATTTGCAACTTGTATCTTTAAGTACTTCAGTAAAATACTGAATTCAGTTAAGAGCAGTGAATTAATTAATAATTTTTAAATATACTCTTGTCCACGTGGATAAGATAGCATGTAACAAGGAGATAGAACTTTAAATATATTAATTGAAAAAAATGCTTTCTGAAAGAAACAATTTTATACAAAATACAACCCAAAATGCCAGTTGTGAGGAGAAGGTAGTGTAACTATGGAATCGCAGTACTCTAAGATGTGAATGCTGTTTTATTCAAGGCAGCATGAAATTGCTGGCATTTAATAGACCACTAAAATTTAGGGTCCCTTGACACTCATAAAAATACAGTTTGAGCATTCAAGATGTTTCATTTCACGATGGCAAAGAAACTATTTAGATGCCAGTTGCTGCACACTGCATAGAAAATGCAAAGAAATAATTAAAAAAATAGATGCTTCTAGAAGTTTGTTTTTGAACAATTGGGAGTTTTAAGTGAGTTTTTTTTTCTTTGGATTGATCTGTGCCTCAATTTATAAGCATGAATGTTTTTCATTAGAGCAGTTTGGTTTCAGAAACTAGAGCTAGAAAACATGTTTAGTAATCAGTTGTAGTGAGGTTTGATAAAGTTGATACAAGTTCTATCTTTTGTGAGGAGATGCAAAACCAGAAACGATGTATTTTAGCTATAACCTGAAGTCTTAAGAAAATATGCTAAGTTTTTGAACTTATTTTCTTAAGTTAATATTTTCTTGATTATGCTAATATATATCTTTTTAAAGTGAAACCAAATGCAGGAAGACTTAAAAAAATATCCTGGTGTTTGTTTTGTTTTTGACTTAGACATTTCACTATACCTCTTGGTGAGAGATAAAATATCAAATTTCAGTGCTTATTCCTCCATAAAAATGACAAGTTTTTTTATTGTTCTACTTCTTACTCCTAAAACTATCAATATGTAGAACACTTAGAGCAGTGTTTGAAAGTGAAATATGTGCACAAATCATGCTGAGAACTTGTATTTTTGCAAGCTTCTTTCCCCGTTGTTAAGCATACAGAAGCTACTTGCACATTATTGGGATTCTAAATACGCTTGTTGCATAGAAACTCTGGATTTTAGGTGGAAATTGAACTCATTCATATTTTATGATGTTTGAGTTTGTTTTGTGGCAAAATCAGAATGTATTTCGAAATAAAACAACAAAAAGGCTGTGCATCCATTTCCCTTGTTTATCATTAACAAAATAGTAGCATTCATGCAGTGTGTTCAGATTCATGAAGAAGCATTTTTATTTTTATTTTTTTGGTGTGGATTCTCATTCTGTCTTTTCTTATGCTCATGTATACATGTGGGTAGACAGACTTGTGTGTTGTATGGGACGGTCGGAGTGGTGGTCGGGGGAGTGAGAGGAAAGGGAGAGAACAAGAAAAGGGGGGGTAGGGGATCGAGTTCTTAAGTAATGCTTTCCATACCAGCACTTAAGTAAATGGATTTTTTTCTGATTTCTTGATTAGTTCTGGGTTTGCAAAGTTGCTATGTTTATTTGAAAGCTTAATTCGTGCCATTGAACGGAAATCATGATATGCATATCAGCAGAAAAAAGTAGCCTTGATTTCTGTTATTTAGTAGGAGAATTGGCAGTTAATTATTATTACACTATTTCATATTTTTTCTTAAATTCTGAAATGTTTGCTTACATTTAAAATGATCAATTTATAAAATTCCACAGAAGTTTATATTAGAACGTGCATTAGAAATAGGTTTGAACTTGTAAAATAAAGTACTTTCTGTAAAAGCTCTATTTGTCTTCAGATATTTTAGTAAGAGATGCTGTTTTACCATGGTGAGGAGGGAAAAAAAAAGGCAATATTTTCCACGGAGAAGCAGTAGGGTTTAATGCAAACAGTAGGTCTTTGACCTATTTAATTGTGAACAATATAACTTTTAGTGTGTAACTACTTACAAATTATCTTTGTGCAGTTTGTATTTAAAAATACTTTTAACAAATCCAGTGTATTTTGTGATCCTGTATGTTGTATAGTCTGGATGCAACCACTGTGCAGACTTTGCTGTTTAGAATAGGGTACCTGCTATTCAGAGGTTGTTCAGAGGTTGGGCTGATAGAGGTTCTTGGGAGCCCTAGTGAAAATACTTTTAGGAGGGCTGTGGGTGCAGTTCAGTAAACAGGGTTCTTCTGTGAAAAGGATTTTTTATTAATATTTTTAAAGTCTTCAGGACAAGAAGCAGACAGGCATGTGTTTTTAGTTCTATCTTGACTGCCTGTGCAGCACTTTGGGGAAGGTTAACCAATGTACCAAGCATATTTTTACAGGCTCGCTGTGGAATCAGCCCGGTGGCTTTGGTTCAGACCAGAAACAATCCAGATACCTGCACAGTGTTTCCACTCTTAATTTAACTTCTCACTTCTATGTGTTTCCTACAGAGCAAAGAAGTGCTTACATTTTCTTGCCCCTTATCAGTGTCTTGGATAATATTTTTTCTGGGATTCTTCAGTTTTTGTTATTGGTATGCTAACTTTGTTTCTAAGAACTGTCTTATTTCATGCGTAGGTGCTTCTTGTTTTCATAATGTCCTGCAGTTCATTTATTCTTCTAAATCAGTCAGCAAATAGAATTTGAGGTTTTTTCCCCAGAAATTAGTTTTGTGAATTACTAATATAGTTGTTAATTGTCTTAGAAAAAAAATGTGTTTTTTTTTCCTCTTCTGTCAGAGTAATCCTGACTTCATTTCCTCCCATGCTCCCAAGGAAAATAGTAAAAATTATTTCATATTTTTTCATTCCAATATGGATGATCAGCATGATTTTAATGAGCTACTCCGATCTTAATTATGGGTTATTTAAATGAACCTTCCATTTTTTTTTGAGGGAGGGGAGAGTGGTTTTTCTGGCATTAAGAAATATAAGAAAAGAAAGTAAGTAATAATCATTTTAAGATGAGAAGCCACTACTAGATCATTACATCTCCATTAAAAAAATCTTGGATAATTTAATATTTTTACCCAGCTACTATGCCCAATATGTTGTGCTTGATTACTGCTCGGCGGCAGGCAGTGGGGGAAAAGGGAGAGCCTTATTAAAGCATTTTAACACAAAATTTGGCGTCAGAAAAATGCAGAATTTGAAAGCTGTAATATTTAGAAAGCTTGTTTCCACCCAACAGGGATGAATGATGCGTGAGCCTGCAGCAGGACGTGCGCAAACAAGTTAGGTGGAGCAGGGTGGGCTTTTGAGTGCGTTTAGCTTGTTCCCCCTCCAAAGAAGCCCAGGCCTTTCAGAAAGCAGGGGCCATTCAGGAGGTTGTGCATGCGGGATGATTTATAGTCGTCTTAGGACAAGACTTACCTGCGTTGTTTGCAGTCACTTATGTCCTAAGCTTGAAAAGAATCAATTACTGAATAGTGGATTCATTGTCAAAACAAATAAGCTTCTTGTTCCGTGAGAGGTTAAATTTACTCAAGAGGAGTGTTTATGATGTGTTTACCAAGCTCTGTTTATAATGCTTTATCTTGAATATTTGATAAAGCTCAGTTTAGCTTAAATAAGTATTATGGATAGGTTGTCTCATTTTGTTGCTATGTGTTTGAGACCAAAGTACCAATTTAGGAATGAGTCCTTCTAACGTGAATCAAGTTAGATGCATCATAAAAATGTAGTGTGGTTGTACTTAATACCACAAGTAGCATATATTCAGCTGTGTAGTTGTGATTTATTATTTATATTCATTGACTGCCAGGATATATTTCCTCAGAGCACATTCACTTGCATAACTGCAATGCACAAGGCAGTTGGTTGTAAATTGATGGCTGAATAGATCACATTGTGTGAAGTAAGGTAGTTCATAAACTAAATATATTGATTTAAGAGCAAAACTTTTTTAGCAATCCATATTAATATTTTATTCTGTTTCACTCCTCTCTCAAATGTTGTGATATGGATTTTTTGATGCATATATATGTATGTGATACGTGTAGTGGATATGTGTATGCATGTATTTAGGAATAAAATACATAGGCAGTTGCAGGTTTTTATTATTTTTATTTTATTTTTAGTACAGAGGATTGTTATTAACCTGTGAGTTGCATACAGGCTAGAGAGAATTTCATCAGGCCCTACTGTGTTAGACTGTGGTACTTCTAGGCAATCAGTGTAGTTCTGAAAACCGTTTCAGTGGTGCAAAATGCTGCTTTCTGATACGTTTGCAGGGGTGCAGAGATGTAGGTTGGTGTTTGTGTTTGGTCTGTGGGTTTCTGTATTGCTAGCTTGCAGAATGTGTATAACTTAGAGGATATTAAATATCCCACAGTAGTTACTTATATATTTTGTTAGGCATATTTTTGAAAAGCTGTCTGTTAATAATAGTGTAAATATAGCTTTAATATCAGGTTTGAAGACTGTTGAGAGATTCATTTTGAAAGGAAGATGTATTCCTGATTTGGAAAAAAATTATCGGAGGATGAAATTATGTAAATCAAGTCAAGTATTGTGCTTCTCTCAGGGTGGTGGAGGAAGGAAGAAAATCATAGTTTGCCTGAAAGCCAGAGTGGCTCCTCAAAGCAGAGTGGTGTGAGCATTTCTTTCTAATCTGTCAATTATATAATTCTGTAATGTTCTAGTAACATTGAAAGCATCCTTACCAAAATCTTACTCTGTGCGTTTTCTGCTTTTTTGGTTGTGAGAGTTAAAAAAAAATATTGATGGCAAATATTAGGTTGATATTAATAGAAGTTAAATATAATAGCTGTGCTATAAAAACTTTCATTCTATAAAATATGCAGTTTAGCTTTTAGTTAGTGATGTAGAATTGCTTTATACAATTTTAATGATCTGTGAAATAATTATACCGGGTTCTTTATCTATAATTTTACTGCATCTTAATGAGCATAGCTGGATGATGGAGACTTTTTGTTTTGTTTTGTTTTCCAAATGTTTAAGTAATCTTTGAATTTAGGTATAGTTACTGTTTACTGCATACTTGTAAAATGTTATTTCAGTTGATATGCCAGAAGTGTATTGCCAGCTGTGATAATGTCTTTAATTTTATTTGTATCTAAATTTCCAGGTTACTCTTGTCAAAGAAAATATCTGTAGTGGTTTTTTTTTTTTTTCTCTTTTCTAGGAAATTTGAATGTTACTCTTCAAGTGTGGGATATAGGAGGGCAAACAATAGGAGGCAAGATGCTGGATAAATATATCTACGGAGCTCAGGTATGATATAAATGATGGTAATTTTGTTTGAGTAATGAGATGGAATTTGTTGGACTCTGCTATCAAATTTATACTTATCATGCAGTTTTTTTGGTAGATCTCAATATTGAATATCTGCTTAGCCTAACTTAATTGATAGTAATCAGCAACTTTTAACATGGCATGTAGGCTTTTTTTTTTAGCTGACTTTAAAAAGCGAAGTAAAATTGCTTATTTTTAGCTCCTAACAACTCTAAAAACATATGTCCGTTTCTATGCCTTATGTCTCGAGTTGAGAAAAGCAATCATAATAAATAGTAAAAGCTATTTGGATTTGCATGTGGCAGATATAGTGGCTGCTTTGAGAGCAGATGCCTCCTGGGGGGAAGAGGTAGAAGGAGGAAATTAAGAGCAATCCTACACCATTAAACTCATACATGCAATTGGTGTTTTAAGGGGCAAACAAAAGGAGGCAACCAGGTAGCTAAATGTTTTTATTGAACCCTTATCCAATGAAAACTTTATCTAGAGGTTAACCAAGTGACTTAGGGAATTAAGAGTTAATATGAGAGAGCTTAGTGTACTGTTGTATTTTATATTGTGGTTTGGCATTATGTACTGGATGCCAAACTTTTTAACAGGAATGATCATAAGTTTAATCTGGAGTCTGTAGTAGGAACGATAGGCACATAACACACTTCATTGATATATCTGAAAAGAAAACAAGTGTATCTGTTTCCCATTGCTTTAAGCAGCAGAAATATGGGCTCCTAAAACTTGTACTGGTTGGAAACTTTAATCAGTATAGAGCAAGAATGGCTGATTAGGAATTAGGGTTTATTAATTGATCGGTGAAGACAAATATCTCAATTTCACATTTAGTACTTTCAAAAAATAGCTAAGTGCTTTTTGCTGTTTTTATTAAAAAATATTTTGCTGCCCTTTGAAAGATCTACCAAGTAACAGGAGAAACTGGCTTCCATGGCAAAGGGAATTTGATTTATCACAGATTGTTGCCATATGCACAAAGCAACCTCTGTGAAAGAAGTAAAAGACTATTAACGCTTTTCTGCATAGCATTTGGTGATAAACTTTGAGAGTTTCTTATCAACAGTACTAAGTCTAAAAACTAACTGCAGTGCTCCAAGGTAGGTTCCTAGCATTAAGCCTGAATTTTATAGTAATCTCATTTTTTGTTATTTAAGCAAATCAAAAAAGAATTTACCTCCGCTTTCTTCTTTAACCTGCTTCCACCCTCTCTTATTACCCCCTCTTTTTTAATGAGCTAGTGGCTCTTCTCCTTCCCTCTGTTGGCATATAACACCACAGTCTGTAGGGTTTCTTACCCTCAGGGCTGACTTTGAATACCGTTTAGGATAAGCTTTGTTGCAGCGTTTCTTTAAGACGGATAACGCTCTCCTTATATTCATGTGTTTTTGGAAACCATTGTGAGTAATTCTGAAGGGCACTGCATTCAGTTTGTTTCCGAGTTGAAGTTTATTTCATGTTGAACATCTGTATCTGTAGTTTTGTGGAAGAAAAAGGGGAAGGGTAAAATAGTGCAAGTGATTTTTTTTTTTCCCTAGCCTATATTTAGAAGGAAAAAAAAATCTTCTTAAATAATACATAGAAAAATTCCATGAATGGGCATCGAGGTGGCAGAAATGTGCCTGAGAAGAGTCAGCAAGGCCGGCTTTAGCAAGCCTTGTGCCTAACGAACTGGACAGCTTTATGTGAGCAGGTGGCTGGCTCTGTGTTCACCTGGACTTCAGCAAGTCTTTCGTCATCATCTCTCACAGGATTCTTGCTGCCAAAGTAGGGAGACTTAGACTGGGCAAAGGGACGTAGACTGGATTGACAGGGACGTTGAAAGGGAAATGTTCTCTAGCTCAGTGTCTTATTTGTAGTAGTCAGTCCTATTTTGGGTCTTTGTTAATGATGTGAACAATGGCACAAGCATGTTGTGAGCTTGCAGATGGCATCAAAATAGTTCGGAATGGTCTGTGTGTGAGGGCAGAGCTGCCATTGAAGGAGACTGTGAGAGATGGGGCGGCCTGGTAGAAACCTCAGGAAGTTCAGTGAGGGCAGCTGTGAAGTCCTGCAGCTGAGATAGAATGAGCTTGCCATAGAGATGGAAGATCTAGATGGGAAGTACCTTCCAGCTTGGATTATCATAACAAAAGATGAGATAAATAGCAGTCTGCTCACTCTCTTCAGACCTTAAGTGTACTGTCGTGTTTTTGTATAGAGTTTCTAGGAACGAAGTAGGTATGCCCAAGGCGTGGCAGCAGAGGAACAACGGACGTTTTAAGCATTTTATTTGTAATGTGCACAGGCAATATAAATACGTGCAATATAATGCATGTAGAAAAGATTATTTGAATCTACTGCAGGAGTTTTCAGTTGTTCCACATGCATGAAAATACATGTGTAGAAGAGCATGCAGTGTGCCTGCAGTATGCACGTGGCTTTTATTCGGTATTCGCAGGTGTCTGTAACCAGGCTGAAGATGCTGCTCTTCATCCCACTGATCATCAGGAGAGATTCAGAAACCACTGGTGGCTAAATTCTTGGTTTTGTGCTCAGAAAATTACATGTACGGTAGACCTACGTATAGAACAGTAGACCAGCTGGTCTTGCAAGTTTTGAGAATCGACAACTGAAAATGTTATCTTGATGGGAAGTCTATAGCCTATTCGATAGCTATTGAAACGTGATCAGCATACCAGGTGGAATTAAGCAGTGAATCTGTCTATACTTTATGTTGAAAAATTTGCCACTGGCGGTTCCCTGCTCTTTGAATCATTTGATTCAGACTTGAATGAAGATATCCTGAGGATAGAACTTTTGGTTAAGTTATTGCTAAGGTGCTGTTGGTTTTTGACTTTGGCTATTTAAAAAAAAAAAAAAAAAAAAAAAAAAAAAAAAAAAAAAAAAAAAAAAAAAAAAAAGAGAGAGAGAGAATCATCAAGGAAAATATAGTTGCTGCATCCCATCTTGATAGCTGAATTTCACTAATAAATCAAAAGAATTTTGAAAGCTGAGCAGGAAAAGAGTTCCGTGATTTCTATGAAAGTAAAATGGTAGTAAGCAACATTTTTTAAGTGGTAGTTAAAGTTGACACATTTATTTCAAAATTGTAGAAGGCCAAGAATAATTGTATAGTAAGTATACAATTATACAGCTGAGCTAAGAGACAATAACTCCAAGTCGTGGCAACTAAGTTGCATTCAATTATGCAACTATACCCTCTGTCTCAGCAAAGATGACAGTGGTTAAGTTTATGTGGTCTGTGAACTGTTCATTTTCTGTAAGACTAACTTCCTTATGGTACCTCGCTCACTTGCAGATCAGTTACTCTTTGCTAAAATGAATATTTAGCATCTAGCAAACCTTAATCTCCATAGTTCTGTTCTAAAATATTTTATGAATATTATTATGAATATTAAGAAACTGTAAAATCTATTGCATTTTTATAAAAGTCAGTTAATGTGGGGGGCCAGCTAAGGATAAACCTAGAGAATAAAATTACATGTGTACATTTTTACACTTTTTTAAAAGCTTTTTAAAATGTGACAAACCCTGACATAATTTTGACACCTTCTAAATATTGACTGTCTAGTGTGAATGTTGCTTGGTTGAATATTTTTGACGCTTTCATAGTGGTAGCACTGCTCTATACTAGATCCTGTATGACAACAGTGCTGGTGTTTGCATGGGAAATACATTTCAGAGCTGCTCCCATCTCTTAGCTGTAATTGCTGCTCCTATCCACATATCTAGCTTAAAGTATGCTTAAGAGCTGGCATATGCTACCTCATAAATTGGCTTGTTAATAGAATAAGAGTTCTGCAGACCGTACCTTCTCCAGAGACCAGCAAATCATTTCTACAGTATTCTCAGTTTCCAGTGGCCTATATTTGAAAATATTTTATAATTCAGAAACAAAAAGCACTCACATATGCAGTAATGTAGGCAAAATGTCTCTATTACTAGAGGGTAATTATGCAAGCAGGGAATATTTGCCACATTGGTTGAGACTGGAGAATTAACATACTGTTCTCGGCATGTTGTCCTCCACATGTTTCAGACTCTTTTCATGGCGGAGAAATGTGGTACTTCTGTGTTACAAGGCCAATGTTAATTTGCTGCCTTAATTCTTCACGCATAATGGGGAAATAACAGGTTTTATGCTTTCCGCTCATTCTGTGCTCAATAAAATGTAAGTCTATGGAAAATACAATGTATTTTTAGTGAAAACAAAGATGGAGTTTCTCCTTTAAATTAAAAAAAAATTAACTATGGAGTTGTGGCTAGTTCTTCATTAATTATGCGAATCACAGTGAACTGCTTTAGAGTGCTGTGGTGTCAAAAGCTAAGTCATAATTTTTCTTTGACCCAGATGCCATGCTGCTGTTTTTTATTTATTTATTTATTTATTTTGTATATCTCTAAATGATGGCAACTTTCCCCTACTTGGGTGGATTGTTCTGACATAAAACTTGAGTCAGCTGGTGGTGAAGCAGATACCTTGTGCCCTTACTGCAGTTACCAGTCTCCTACGAAATCATGGATATTGTTGCTTTTACCCTAAGCATCAATTGATGTTTGAAAGATGACGATATTTACCGCTGTTTTTTTTCAACCTGAGAAAAATTTCATGGTGTAGGTATCGGGATCTCATCTTTTATTAAAGAAGTTATTCGAATTTAACAGTTTGGGAATAATCTCTTGGTTCATGAGCAAAAATTGCTACTGGGAGAGGAAAATTGGAAAAGGTGTTTTAGAACAATAGTGTAGTACACAGGTCAGAAGGAAACAGATCGAAGATGCAGAACCACCTAAGGTAGTGTTCTAGTATTTTAGTTTTGTGAATACAAGAAGTGGTAGAGTATCGTTTATGGAACAAGGCTTATGTTATAATAGTCCAAATGCTTTTCCATGTATACTTAGTTCTTAAAATGGTCGGGACAAGTGAAACACAAGATATTAAAGACTAAAGGTAGAAAAGTTAGAAGAGGGTAATGAATATTTAATATTAGATTGGATTAGATTGGTAAAGGAGGAAGAAAACAAGGGAAAGGAAAGTAAGTGTCATAATTTAACTTTCTTGGAGGAACTAATGAAGACTGTTCTTCAGAAAGTAATAGACATAGTTGCTTACGGAACAATAAGCTCATTGTTCTCAAGTTGATGACTTTGAAGTAAGAGATGAATTTGTGTTGCAGTCATATGGAAATAGATATTGAAGATGTCTCAGGATCTGTTCCCCTCTTCAGAAGCTGTGCATGTATAAGTTTTATTTCATACTTATCAACCTTGAAAAAATGTTCAGTTTGGGGAATTTTGCCACCGCCAAAGGTATTTTTCAGAAGGTCACTGTTCTCATTGTTTACGTGTTTTCTTTAGTATATACTCCTTTCTTTGTAATTTTATCTCTGTGAATTAATCCTATTTCTGTGATCAAGGAGACAAGGAAAATAATAGGAAATTCAAATTGGAAGGGAACTCTTGAGGCCTTTAGTCCATCCTCTTGCTCAAAACGGGGTCAGCTGTGAGATCAGACCAGGTTTCTTAGGGCTTTATCGAGTCTGTTCCTATAAGGACAGAAGCTACACAGCCTGTCTGGACAACCTGTTTCTCTGCTTGACTCTCTCACAGTGAAGAAGTTTTATTTCCCTATGAATGTCTCTTGTTCTGATTTATGCCCATTGCATTCTCTGTCCTGCCTTGCAGTACTTTGAAGAGCTCTGTTTCCTCACCAGCCTCCTTGGGGGTAGGAGAGGGCTGCTGGCAGGACCCCCAAAGCCCTGCCCAGGGCCCCCATCTCTCCTCCATGCTGAACCAGCTCAATTTCTTCAGCGTCTCCTAGGAGGACAGATGCACTGACCATCTCGGTGGCCCTTGACAGGACTTGTTCTGGTTTATCCACGTTTTCTGTGTATGTGAGGGGAGAGAGGAGGCCAAGATGGGATGCATTATTGCAGATGTGATCCAGGCAGGGCTGGGTCAAGAGGAATAATCAGTTCCTAGCATGTGACTGGGCTGCTGCTTGTAGCTCGGGATCGTGTTGGCTTCCAGTGCTTCTCGTCAGGCTCGTGGTCCTCGCTGCCTGCCCAGGCCCTGGGGGCATTTTTGGCCGCTCCCCAGCGGGTCAGCGCCCTTCTCCCCAGCCTCTGCTGCTATTTCCATCCCAGCTGCAGGGTTCGCATTCCTCCTTGCTGGAGGTTCCTGTTGGCCCCTTCTTTCAGCCTGTCTGTGTCTCTGAATGGCAAGCCTTGCCCTCGGGTGTATTGACTGCTCCTTCTAATGCAGTGTCATCTGCAAACTGAGTGTAAAAGCATATAAAAAAAGAGCCTTTATTACCTTCACTTAGTTTTTAACGCTAGCATCATGCCGGCCCTGGGTCTTGTGTTTGTTGATGCAGTCCATTTTTTTTTCCCAATTTTCTTCTCAATTATGCTTTCCAAACCTCTGATATTGTACCCTATTCTAGTCTACCTCTTCTAAACAATTCGTGCCCAAAGCTGGATGCAATATGTTATCTGCATGTTTCATTCCAGTCTGAAATTTGCTTTTCTTTTTTTTTTTTGCTTCAAGTTTGACTAGTATTTGACTATGGTCTACTCCAACTCCTTGATCCTTTACTATAGAACCTGCTATAAAGCCAGATGTTTCCTAACCTTGTGCAGTTGATTATTGCCTTCTTTGAACTTGTCCTGATTGAATTGCATCCTATTCTTTTTAGATTGTTTCTCCCATTTGGCAAGATCATCTTATGATCTGAACTCCCCTGAAATACTCTTTCAGTTTCAACCAATTTGTGTTCATCTGTGAAATTAATCTGATAAGCATGTGTTCTCTTTCAAGATCTGAGGCAGTCATGAGACTATCAAGTATACCAGACTGACCTCTGAAAAACTCCCCTTGAAAAATCTGCTCAGTTGACACTGAGCTATTGAATTGGCTGCTTTTGCTGCTGTCATATTGTTTCCCGAGATTATTCATGAAAACCCAATGTTTGAGACTGTGTGTAGTTCCAGGCATATTTTTTCTTATAGATGTGAACTCCATGAGGACAACTACAGAAGGCAGTTCTGACTGTTCCTCAATGACAGGCTATTTAGCCTCTTATAGTATAGTTGAATGCAATAGAACAAATGGGAGGGATTTGGTGTTCACCTTCCAAAGGAGAGGAGAGAGGCAACAGTCAGGTGATCTGAAAAACAGTTCAGTCATACATTTGTTCCTTTCTTTTCTTTCGCTTCAAAAAGAGAGTTATAAATTTCAGACTACAAACAAAGCTAGCTAAAATAGAGGTCCTTCTCCATGGAATTTTTAACGGTATATATGCAATTTGGAATATTTATCATCTAACTGATTGTGCTCTTTCGTGAATTGCCATTTTCTCTCCCTTTGTTTCACTTAGCTGATTTTACTTCCCTGATTTTGAAATACTGCAATATTTCTCTATTCCATGTAAAGTATGTTTACTACAGAAGCTTGTACTTAACTTGTTTAATTATTTCTCAAATGGAAAAGTGCCATTCTTTGTAAAGATCTGTTTTATAATAATCATATAACATTTTAGCATTTAACAATATTTTATAACCTGTCATGTTCTACATATATCTTTCCTTTAGGGTATTCTTTTGGTTTATGATATTACAAACTGCCAGAGCTTTGAAAATTTGGAAGACTGGTATAATGCTGTAAGAAAAGCTAACGAAGATTCGGAAACACAGCCTCTTGTGGCCTTGGTTGGAAATAAAAGTAAGCTATTCATTTTTAAGCATTGATTATATTACTGTGTGCATTTAAGGAAATATCACAAGCTATTTCTTTATACTTTTATATATCTTTAGTAAAAGGAAATTCATTTCTGTATTTGTGTCTTGTGTATTAAGCCTGTGATGGTCGTGCTTAGATAATGTATTTGGGTCACCTGAGGGTTCTGGTTCCTGGGCAGCCGGGTTGAGGGGCTTGCTGGAGCCTGTTTGGTTTGGGACACAGCCTCTCTACCTCTGTTTTCTTTACCTGGTGAGCAGCACGCAGGAATGTAGAGGACTTTTTTTAATGCCAGCAATTTTACAAGTAATTAAAACTTATTAAATAATTGGTATCTATGATCCGCTGTTAGATACAAGTATAATATTTTGAGTTTATTTATTTATTTGATATTATTTTCGTAATGAAGGTAATTTTACCAGTAAGGTTACTTGTTCTATGTTGTTCTTGTTTACTACCTCTTTCACAATGTCCCATTAACTGAAAAATGAGAGAGAAGACCTTATCTAGAAAAGTAATATTGTTCAAAAGCATTTAAAAATAATATAGAGACAATGTTTTAATTCATAATGGTTAACTCTGCTGTTACTACCACAGTGTTACAATTTTTATGATATTAATTATGAAAGACTACTTTTTTCTGTGAAGAAAACAGAGAAACTCTTAGAGTTACAATATATAAATAGCACTTCTGAAAGTATAACATAGACTGTATTGTACTATAGCACACCGGAGCAAATAATACAGATTCTGTTGAAATTCAAATGAAAAATATTTTTCACTGATTTATATTTTACCCCCAAATTGGACTTCCTAACTGGAGTTCTGCAAATCTTGCAGAGTATTTACAGTAGGGTATGCATAAGTAATTTCTTTTGCTGGAATGACACCATATAGGCAGAAAACCAGATTACTGGTTTGTGTTTGCAATTGAATGAGCATGTTTTATCTTTTTCTTTTTTTTTCTTGAAGTGTATGTTTGCTTGTTTCTTTTTCCTCATATGAAAATGTGTAGTTCTTAAAAGTACATTTCTTCATTAGCATCTGCAAATAGAATATGGATGAATTTCCAGGTAAAAGACAGACATGGGGAAAAAAGCTTTCGTTTCATGAAAACAGCATCTGGAGGAAAACTGTCCTTGCTGCCTGCTTTTCCTTTGGAAACTGTGTCTGAAGAAGAAAAGCAAACTATTGCTTTGGTGTCGTCCTAGGGATATTTGCTGCTGTTGCACACATTGTGAACTGCTTAGTGTCACTCAAAAGAAGGCTTATGGGAAATGTTGCTTACAGTGGTCACATTTTTTGGTTTGTTTTTAATTCAGCATTAAGCTTGTAGAGAATCGTTGCTTTCCTGGACTTCACAGCAGAACAACATCATCTCAGAGGGCTTCAGTTTTAGTGCTTTAATGGCCTGTGAGAGGTTGTGTAGTCAGGCTCTTCTTGTTATGTAAAAAGAAAACAAGGTAAGTGCTTGGAGCGAAGCATTATGTTGATTTCTGCATATTATGAAAGGATAAAACTACCCTTGCTAACAATTTTTTTTCAGATGGGATGGTGTGTTCAAAATAAATCAACTTCTTTAGTCAGTAAGTGGTAAGGCACTTCTGTAGAATGCAAAGGCAGGAGGTTTCAAGGTTTCAAGTCATTTCATGAACATGTTTGACCTCATGCATGATTTAGGGAAGATACTTTCAGTCAATAGTTTTTTGTCTGAGACTTGTTTTTTTGAGTTATGGAGTGTTTTTTAGAAATATATCCAAATATATTCAATGAAAGATTAGAAACTTTCATAATCACAGTCAGGTTACTCTTTCTTTCTGATATAAGTTCTTTTTATTTATTTATTTTTATTTTTTTAAGATGAGAATGCTGTATTTTCACTCATGATACTTCATTAGTTTGGAAAATTGGGCCTTTATTTAGGTATTTGGTTAAGAATCTATAAGCTTATCTGTAACCATTCCTTTTGGAAACTCTTGGGCTAAATTTAGAGCAGCCCTTTTAAGTCTTCTTAACTTGGGGTTAGGCTCCTTTTTATCAGATCTTTTCACTTGTTAATATTACCAGAAAGAGTCTTTTTTTTTTTCTTTTTTTTTTTTTTTCCTTGAGGGCGGGATGGGGAGCAGGGTCTTTGTTACAGTACTTCAGAAATAGGAATGAAGTTATGGTTAAAAAAAGTTTGGAAAAAAATGAGAAATATATCTTTCTTCAAATATTTAGGACTTTACACATGGATTACATCAGATCTAAATAATTTCCTCAAGTAATTCTGTCATTGAAAAGATAAATTGGTTCAAGTATAACAGTAAATGTTATATACTAGGTGCTAAATTTGCTGTAAAAATCCATGGTTTATTAGTGTATTATTCCATCAATTTATGATCATTGCAGCTGTTAAGTTTGTCAAATTTGGAGGAAGGTCTTCAGTATTCTACCAAAATCGAAGAAATTGTGCTGTTTGGTTGGGATTTGAATTTGGCTGGGAATGAATCGGCACGAATTTTGACTCCTGCATTTTATTTTGCACTGCAGTAGATTGGAAGTGGGAATGCAGCAAACCTCCCGTGTGTCTGCTGAAAGGGGGACTTCAGTTTGGTGGCTTGTTAAAATGTGCTGTCGTGGTGGTAACAGATTCAAATTTAGTGATCAAATGAAGCTACGTATTTAAGGAAATTCCTAAATTTCCAAAAATGTTTATTTATTTATTTACTTCTGGAGTACATAAAAGGAGAGACTAAATTGTTAAAAGCAATTGAAAAAAGCACAAGAGCTTTAGAGATGCATTCTCCTTTATGAAAGGAATATTGTAAACTGACTAGCTGTTCTCCTTCATGCTAAGTTTTATTTTTCACTTTCTTCTTTAGTTCCTTACGTCTCTCTCTACAGCTTGGCCGACTGATCTGATCACAGTAGGAGAATGGTTTGAGCCAAGATCTTGCCCTGAGCTGCTTCCTGCACTTGTCCTGTGCTCGGTTAAATCCCTCTCTTTCTGTAATTGTATGTGTGTGCGCGCACGTGTGCACGTTCAGTGACAACATATAGAATCATAGAACTTAATTTAGTCTTTTTAATTAATCATCATTTAATTTAAAAGTCTTTTTAATTAATCATTTAATTAATTTTAATTATATTTCCTTAACTTATCTGTAGCTTACTTTTGCGTATCTTAATCTTATTTAATACAGAGCATATTTGAAATATGCGTTTATGTTGCTATATGCCACTTGAGTTGCCCTGGAAATAAAGGTCTCAGCTTTATTGTCAACAATAAAAAAAAAAAAAAAAAAAAAAAAAAGAGAGAGAGAGAAAGAAAAGCATTGAAGTTTGTGTAGTAAAGTAGAACTTTTATAGATATTGTACTGTTGAATACTTTGTATCATTTTGCATAGTATAAATTAAAATCTAGTTATCAAAAGAATGTATTTTATGCATTTAGGAACTTTGCTTAAACTTTTGGTATTGATTTGAATTTCTGTAATTCACAGTAGGTTGTCTGGTCATTCGTGTGAATTGTAGAGGTTTTACTGTGTTTTATGACTGATGTGTTTTGTTCCTGTCTGCCCGAACTAGTTCTTTGTATATTTTCCTCTGCACTAATCTATAACCAGACTCCTCAAGTGTCCTACCAACATTTTCAGTGGTTATACTGTAAACAAAAATTAACCCAGGTTGCATGGGAGCTGCACTCTTTTTGATTTATAGCTACTTAGATGGTCTCAGGGCGGCGGTTATCTGTAACTTATATAGGGGGTAGGAATTATCAGGTACCAGTGTATAGTGGATGGATGAATGATTTCTATTCTTAGAGATATTACCCAGGTCCACTCCTCAATAAAGACTAATAACTCAGATTTTTAAACAGTCCTCATGACAGATGAGGGCACAGAGGAGAGTGCCACAACACTAATTAAGAATGTTGACCGTTGTTCGTCTTAGCCGTGATTAATTGATCTTGGAGTGCTATCTGCCACCAGGAAGTGATACGCTGTTATATTGTGAAGTTTAAAGGTTACATTTTAGTGCACCCTTTAGCTTGCATTTACATACAATGTTAAATCTTTTTAGCTATCTTATCTGACTGCAGGGAGAAACATTTTCCAGCCCACAAATTAATGCATGTTTAGTGTGCTGTGTACTAATGTGAATCTGGCCTTTAACAGGACCTATCCAGGCTGCTTTTGGATGCGTTACTCCTAGCTGTTGTACAGGAATGCTTCCTCAGTAATCCTCTGCTCAAGACACTGCTTGATTAAAGGTCAGGACTATACGCACACACATTCACTCCCGTGTCCCTCTTGCCCTCCCAGCTGTTTTCTGTTCTCATTTCCCAAGCTCTTAAACTTGTTGGGACCTTCACCTGTAATCAAAACAAGTGCAGAGCAGCTCATGCAAAGGCTTCGTTTTGCTTTCTCGGAGTCTTTTGCCTGATTAAAGCATAGATCCTGTATGCTGGACAGCAGGACCAGTCACCTGAACCTCCACGTGCTCCTGGGTCTGGGAGGTAAACTGCTTATATGTAGAGACTCCCTTAAAAAGAAAACCTTGTCCTGTGCTACGGTCAATTTACCTACTCATTTGAATAAATGTAAAATGTTACCCTGTTTGAAAATATGTATAGAATGTTTGCCTCAACGAGCTGCAGGATTAATAGAAAAGGTAGTCCTATGTATTTTGTTTCTTCCGTCAAATCAGAAGTTCTGTCAGCTAAGGTCTATTTACTATTTTTAAGAAGAAATTTAATTAATGAAATAAAAGATCACTTTCTATTCCCAGGAATAATATATTTACAACCCAGTGTCTGAATATATTCTGTATTACTTAAGGGATGACAGCAGTTTAAAAACATGCATATTTTTTTAGCCATAAGATGATCTTGCTTATCTGAAAAAAAAAAAAAATCTGTCTTGTAAAACTTTGTTCCTAAGTGATGCTAAGCATACTGTTCGTAGTGGAAGCAAAGACATTGCTGGCTACCAGCACTGCCA